GGGTTCCTCCCTGTGTGCTGCCTGTGGGGCTGAGAACATTGTGAAATGTTCACTGTCAGGATGAAAATGAATGTGCACATGAGGACCTGCAGTGAAATGGTGCAACCCTGAGAGAAAGCTCTGATAAGAATGTGAATGGAGCAGCTGTAGACGAGGCTGTCAACATGCGGCGTCGAGTCTCCAGCGGTTTACAATGTATATTGAATCTATGTGCTGCACATTTTGTTCATTACAGTGTTATTAAAAGCTGTGAAAAATGTCGACAAACGCCACAGAAACCCTCTCCAGAGAGTCGCACAGAGGAATGTCCCTATGCATCTTTATTATTCTTGACTTGTTCCCTTTGGAAACTCACCTCCTCCGTGCCCTCTTTACATTTCATCATTAAAAGCAGAACTCAACTTGGCCCTGAAAAAAAATGGCTGATACAGTGTACATCTCTCATGGCTGCAATTATTATTGCATCAACAATTTATTTTTCCATATCGTCTGTCTGTGTTGGTCACATTATAGATGGATTACAGGACACAAAGACTGGGCAGACATCCACCACACTATTACCACTTTCAAATGAAGAGCCAGAAGTTAAAGCAGCAGCCTTTTTTTTTTTAAAGACAGTATATAGTAGTGCTTTATGTTAGTGTATGATATTCCTCATCTCAGTCACTCTGCCTCCTGTAGACACCAAGTGATAATGATGTATAGCTTACTTCATAATGGGTGTGAACACATGAGTCGTAGCAGCTGGAGGAGGAAAGGTGGAGTGTGTCAGCCAAGTGAGGTGTTAACATGAGATTAAAATTAAATCTGTGAGAAAGGCAGAAGTCATCAACCACACTTATTGTAGACGCATGCTGCACCTCTAGAGTTGCAGTAAATATACAGTATGCTTGGGGCTGAGTTCGCCTCTTTAATTCTTGTTTTTGTTTTCCAGTTGATTTACTTCAGTAGGCAAGGAGAGGCCTGTTTATCTGACCTGAGATCAGTGTGTGCTGTGTCAGTTGGAGAAAAGTGACCTCAGTGGAAAAGCTCAGACGAGACACCTAAACACTTTAGAGAAACCTCACTCAGAAAGCTCTCCTTGTGTACAGGGTGAAGACATGGGGCCACTGCAGACCAACACAAATTAGTCCTGAACTGGAATAAAAAATAAGACTAATTCCTCCCAAAACACAACCCAAACACACAACGTGTGATGGAAAACAAAAACAGGATGACAAGCATAATCCTGGCAAACACTCATTCAACAACACTTATTCAGTGTGTTCAACAGAATAAAGCACACAGTACAGGTTTATGCTGCTGCCTTCAGTTTGGTGACAGAATATTTGAGAATAGTGGAGCAGAAGTGCTCCATGCTTGATTCTTGGAGGCAGTTTGCAGGAGCTAACAACTCATTGCCAAATACATACTGTAACATTAGTTTCCTATTATCTGCATGTTTTACAGTAATTTTATTATAATACTTCCAGTCCTAACTAATTTAAGTAACATTGGACATTGGAACTCTAGTAACAACAGGTCAGTGAGCCAATGAGAAGAGAGGAGGCTCCGAGCCTCTCCTCTGATTGGCTGACTGTTTTCTGAGTGATCCAATAAAAATATAGCAGATTTCAGGTAAACACTCAGAGAAACCAAATCCTGCACAGTTGGATGGTGGGTCCAGGTGGGCGGGGCTTGGGGCATGGCTGAGAGCGGTGACTGCTTTGTTGTGACATCACAAAGTTACAGAAGTCCTGACGGCTGGTTTTAAGGCTCAGTTTCTGAATACAGGCTGTGTGCATTTCTCTGTGGACTGAGCGCTTTGATACTTTCACAGTATTTATGTAAAACCTAGACCTGCTTTAAATTCAAAAAACACATGGACATCTACCTTTATACTATATGGACCTTTAATGTTTTAATGTACGTCTTGTTTAACAATGCTCTGCATGACTACATAAGGCATAGTGACCAGTGGATGTTATTATTATATTATTGCATCAATGTTTTGCTTCTTTCTGTGGTGCATGACCTATGCTCTATCTTAACAGAGCTGATTTTGTTGCTGTTGTTGTCACTTCAGTGTCTAATGTCACTGTCCTGTGTTTGTATTTATGAAGCTGTTACCACTTTTTTAAAGCAGACATTCCGACCTGCCATAGAGGAAAAGCACTGGTACGAATAAGAAAAATAAATGATGATGGTTGAATTCCATTTAGTTGCTTTAGTTTCAGGGTCCTGTCATGGCTCATGGGGACACTGACAGAGACATTGTGAGTCCTGGAAAAACCTGGAAAAGAGCTGACCAGTTTTCCAGTCATTGCAAACACTTGGAAAATGAGAGAAAAAGTAAAATGTCCCGGAAAACTATTTCAACATTCTCCTATTTTCAGACAAAGTTGTGTTCAGGATCATGTTGACGTTCAAATGGTAGATTAGTTTACAGACAGGAGTATTCTGAATAGGCTTCTACAGGTTTTGTTTGGCACGCACCCCGAGGTCACATCACAATTGCATGTTACATTATCTTTTAAATGTATGTATGTATTTTAAATGTACTGTTGACTGCTAACTGTGGTAGTTTTTATTAGGTTTATAGATTAACGTATTCTTCCCAACTTTTAAACTGTTGAATAATGGGTTAGCATGTTTGGTTCAGTAGCTTGTTAGCTTATTTTGTCTGCAGCTAAAGGTTTAAGGTTTGGGATTCAACTCTGGCGGAGCAAAGGTTTCAAATGTATGTGGGTTCATTACTGAGAGTTGGATAATAATAAATGGGAAGATGGAATGACGATAATAATGATAAGTTGTATTTACATATACACACCAGCAAGTTCTATGTACATCATTTGTCATAATCAAATCAATTTGTCATAATTTCATGATTAATTAAACATGTAAGAAATGATTTCATAATTAAGCCAAGTATAGACTGTACTTATTTGAAATCAGACTTCCACTGAAAGAAACATATTAATGGTGTGATTCCTGTCTGTCATATGAGCTAGTTCTTCACTGAAAATATGCTGGAAAATGATCTGGAATCTGGAAAAAGAGTGGGAACCCTGATTGTTTGATATTATTAGTTACTGTGCTTTTCCTACTATGACAATATGAAATGTCTGCTTTGAAGTAGACCTATTACTTTGAGAATATCTTGCCAAAGGACTTCAGTTGAAAAAGAAACAGCTGGCTTACAGTGGCATGTTTACAGATATGCTGATTAATGTGCTTTGTCTTTTTAAATAAGTAAATTAAATGATTTATTAGCCTTTTATAAAGTCATTATCTACAACTTATAAAATCCCTTTATACTTGTTATGCCTGATTAGGATGCTGCCAGATTTTCTACAGAAGTTATCACTGACTTTAATTTCCCATCCCTCTACTACTCAGCAATTTATCTTGTGGGGAGAATTACTTACAGTTTCCTTTTAGAGCAGTAGCTCTGGATTTTCCAAGGTTTAATGGTCTTCTTAAATGAGAAGACAGTGTTGTGTGTTCTACTTAAAGCTCATGTGCCGGCCACATGGACGCCGCGATGACATCATCCCCGGGGCGACACGACAACACCGCGCTAAAAGGGCTTCATTCACAACTGCTGTTTAACTGGTGCTAAATAACGCCTGTGTGAGTTAAATAGAAGGTGTCTCACCAACTGTAAGCCATCCACAAACAGACACAACCACGCATTCATTTCAGTGTAAGACTTAGCAAAACATTATACACGGGTGGTTATTACAGTGGTGCATCCATCACATGGAACAGGGTGAAGCAGGGAGAGGTGGATTAAGGAGAATGAGGGAGGAGGAGTGACAGTTTGTGGTGTTTGCAGAGGGATGTGCTGCTTCATGCGCTGGACAAGGCAGGATTATTGTTAAAGTACTGCTACGGCTTGTAAGGACATGCATTCACTCCTTTTCTTAACCACACACACACACACACACACACACATACACACACACACACAGACTCAATGATTGAGCCACAAGCGCCCCTCCCCCCACATTTATCTTCTTTCCCCCTTTTGTAATACACTGTATGAGCAGAAACACACACCTCTCCTCTGCTTTTCTGCTTTCCCCAACCTCTTTGGGTGGGGGGGGGACTACACAGCAAAGTGTGACATCACCTCTGAGCTCCATCGGTTACCAAGGTGATTTTTTCTTCTATACAGGAATAGAACTGGGAAGAAAAAGGGGGATGCATTTGCGAGGTTCGCCATGTCCTTGACTCTAGGGCATCGGGTTAGCACCCTTACACACACACACCCCCATGTCTCTGTCTGTGCATTTACATTATAGAGAGACTAATTTGGCTGCAGCTACCCACGTGCTGCACATTAGCCTGTTAGTAAATGTCCCCTGCATGTGCTGCAGTGCTGCAGTATTCTGCAGTAATTGGTCGATTTGCACAGTGTCGCCTAACAAAAATAAAGTTAAATAGATTTGGCTGGATTGTGAAGTGATGTTTCAGAGTTACAGTTTGGGATAATAATGGGAGGGTATGGGTGTGCACATGTGATAGACAGATAAGGACAGGCTCAAAAGAGACACAGGGAGAGTCCAGTCAAGTGTCTGCCGGCTGCCGGCTGCATTTACAGAATAGCTCTTATCAGATGTGGGCAGTCGCAAAGTCAGACAGGGGAGGGAAAGAGTGCGCACGCACACACACACACACACACACACACACACACACACACACACACACACACTCACTCTGCATGTCATGAAGGATTGTTTTAGAGAGGAGAGTCCCATGAGGCATCTGCCTGTCTCTGCACAGTGCTCATTTTTTCAGACCAGAGCTTGTGATCACTCATCACCGCAGCTCCACCAAGGAACAGGAAGCCAGGAGGATCCTCAAACACCACAGAGCTGCTTAAAAAATCTGAGCTCTGGGTAGGAGAGAGGACAGACATGCACAGGTGCTGCTAGAGAGAGAGAGAGAGAGAGCGAGAGAGAGAGAGAGAGAGAGAGAGAGAGAGAGAGAGAGGAGCAAGAACTGAGAGACAGAGAGAGAGGAAGAAGAAGAAGGGGGAGTGAGGGGAGGTGTAGGAGGAGACTTGACTTGCTTCAGAGGGGAATAGGAGCCGGAGAGCAATTCCAAAACAGCTGTCCGGCAGACGTCCCAGTCGACAGAAGTGCAGCCTCGAGGCAGAGACAGGAGGCAGGGCAGTGTCAACAAGCCACAGGAGCAGCAGCACAGCAGCCACTGATCACACACACACACACACATTCACACAGACACACACATCAACCTGGGGCTTCAGCAGTCAGGAGGAACACCAGGGCGATATACCTGGGAAGGATCAAGATCTCCAGATCATCGGAGTATCTGAGGTGAGTGAGAGCGGGGAACATGTTTTATTTCACTCCCTCTTGTTACAGTGATCCGAACGTGCGGATGAGATAATGCTGCTGCAGTTTACCTGCTGTCATGTAAATGCTTTTTCATCAGCGTCTTTGCGAGTGTCTGGAAGAGAATGAGATATTGCTTAGTAACAGTGAAACGTGCGAAAGCGTGCATGGTAAGTTAAGCTTGTACAGTTGTACATTTGTCCGGCTCTCATACATGTAACACAAGAGCTGAACTGTTAGGAGCAACATGATATCCTGCCTGCTTTCCAAGAGAGACATTTTTAGTCCGGCTACACGCTTTAGGCATGTTCCTCTGAAATGCAGAGTTGGCTTTGCCTTTATCTCTCAAGGGGGGTGGGGGGTGGGGGGGTTGGAGGAGGTTTCTTTATGGGTGAACTGGGAGGAAAGAACTATTTCTTTTCTGCCAGTATGTGTTGACATTCCCTTCATGTTTCATATGCTTTGATTCGGCTTCCTGCTCATCTCTGCCAAGGATAACTCTGGCAAGTGCCGGCCGTGCTTGCGGGTGGCACAAGGGGAGTAAGAAAGAAAGACAGAATAAATACTCCACCCTGCTACTCCACCACCAGGCCCCCGAAAGTAAGGCCTTTGCCTATAATTGAGGTTTTTTTTTTTTTATGTAACAAAAAAGCTCAGTCTATTCTTTAAGGCTGCCATTACCCTCTGTGGTAACCGCTTTTTATAACAGCCCCAAAAAGAGGGTCTTTCTGCCATTCAAAGACGTGACAGAAGTCAAGGCCACGGTTAGATGTTTGAGGAGCATTTGGAAACTTTCTATGAAGTTTGCCTGGAGGAATTTGTCGCCCACACGCTGATGATGTTGCACTGACCACAACTACTACACAAGTGCAGAATAGCGTGCTGTTTTTCAGCAGCGCTGATGTCCCTGTCAGCACAGTAATCACATCACGGGGCGGATTATTTAAGGGATGCATGGTTTCTATTTTAAAGAATGGTGAAGTCATATACAGGTCATATTGTCAACAGCTGCTCTCGCTGTATGTCCCTCATCACCGGCTCTGGAGCAGTTGGGCTAATGCAGAGCTGTAGAGCATCATCACACCGGAGCGTTTTGTTTAGACTACACTGACTCTGAGAATATTCTGACCCAGTTATATTGCACGTGAGTTTCAGGTGTCCAGAAATACCCAGACAAATCACGAGCCATTAGTTTCATTACCAGATGCCAACCCCACATTTATCTGTTCAAACTTTCATCACCTTGCATCTTGCCACCCCCCTCGCTAATAACCAACCCTCCAAGCATGAACTGATGAGGTACAGCTCCATTTTTAAAGAGGCTGGAGCGGCTCCAGATCACTTCACGCCCAGACTGATAGCTAGTTGCTGACCTGATGACACAGTGGTTTCATCCTGCAGCTCCCATTATGACCGGATGGCTGCTGCGTCAAGCATTTCTGAAAGGAAGGCGCCATCAGATCCTCACTTCCCCCAGAGGTGTAAATGAAACCTGCGACTGCATTCTGCAGTGGCGTCGGCGGGGGCAGTTGCAGCGCCGGGCTCGGGCCGCGCAACACGTGCCCAGCGCCACCTCTTTTTTGGAGCAGTTCCAAAAAAGGAGGGTGCAAATCTAGCCTTGGCTTTGACATATACCAGAATACACCTGCTCGACTTTTAACAGCCTGCAGAGACACAGATGGATTCATCTGGGTTAGCAGGCCAGGAGGGTCCACATGCTGAGCTATTCTAATTGATTAATTTCCTCTTCAGCCAACACAAGATTATCTAGCATTGCTAAGACTCCAGAGATTCTCCACATACACTCAAATCAATGCCAATTCCTCCAATCTCTCATTAAATGAACCCTCAGCAGATCCCTGATCGACAGACATGAGGATATTGTTTTCCTCGCACTTTGCTGGTGGCCTCTGGAATTCCAGTCATATTTGCCATATAAGCCAAACTGAGCACCAGCAGGATGGCTGACGTGAAGGTCAGACCTTCAGGCTTTCACCACACCAGCTGACTCCTCATGGGCCACAAGTGTTGACCTTGGCTAGGATGCACAGCAGATGTCCCCCTGTGAGAGTTGAAAGACTTGGATTGCTCATCTGCTGGAGGATTTCCTATAAGTTCTGTCCATGCTATTGATTTCAACCAGAATTATCATCTCTTATAATGCAGGGGTTGTGTGTTTTCTCATGCCACTGGAGAGCAGAGACCAGGCAGATATTATAATGTCATTAGTGTGGGCCAATAATCAATAGGTATGTTTGATAGGGAGTGTGTCAGCAGCAGTGACCTTCTATTCTTAGGAGCAGTGAAACAAAAGTTGATACAGATATAGATATGTGTGCTCTGAGCCCACAGGAAGCAGCTTTTGGCTTGGTGATGCATTCGTTTCACTTCCTATCCAAGCCCAGTTTCCCACTGCAGTGAAGCATCAGCTGTCAAGGTCAGAAAGGATTGAGGAGCAGCGGTGATCGGGAGAGAAGCAAAAAAAAAAAAGAAACAAGTGGGAGGAAAAGAAATGGAGGGAAAAAAATAAGAGAAAAGCTTGAGCTAAACAAGTCAGGGATTTTCCTTTAACCCCCCTCTCCCTTCATCAAACACTGCAGCACTCCTCATCGCCCCCCCCCCCCCCCTTTTCTCTCCCCCACTGTTAACAAACAAACACGCTCTCCTTCGCACACATGGCGTGCATTCAAAACTGCTATCTCTCACGAGCGCAGTCAGGCACCTCGCGCAAACACTCACACTGGCACTCGAATATACACAAGGACCCTTGGCGAGCGCTGTTGCCATTCACCGCACTCACACATGTTCTGCATCCCTCAGTGTTTGTCATGGCTATATATAGCTCCACAGAGCTTTCTGGGTGACAGGTTGTAATGGCATTTCCCTAAAGTGAGAAGATTTTCGTCTCGTCATGTAGAGTTTAATCGGAGCTGCAGCTCTTTGTGGGGAAGATACTGATGCTCTGACACTTCTTCAGACTCCATGTTGGAAACGGGAGTCAGTGCGGTGGTTTCCAGTCTGTTATTTGGCCTCAAATACGCAGCAAGTGTCTGTCTCTCTGGCTCCACACTAATGTGCCTGCTGAATAAACATAGCCTACTTAAAGTGTCTCTGATAAGGCTGATGCAGTGCGTCTCTATGGGGTCGGTTGCAGCAGGAATGTGGATGTTTTCTCAGTGAAACCTTTTTTCTTTTCTTTTTCTTTTTTTTTGGGGGGTGGGGGGGTAGACTTGACCGCCCAGGCACTTTTGTGTAGCAGTGCGCTCTGTCAGACGGTCACTGCTGACAGACCTCTCATAAGTAAATATGTCTATAAATGGGCAAGGTCTCTCCTCACTGTTGCTCTCTCCCACTCCCCCCCACCCTCATCAGACACACACTGTCAACTCCCTGCCTCCACACACTGTTTTTCCCCTTCTCTTTGGTTGCTATGTCATTTCAAATGATCAAACCCTCTTCTCTTTTCTTTTTTACAACCCACGTTAAAGCCGGCTGCCACCGTGGTGACATTCTTGGTTTGGTAGTAATGGAAAAAGCGATCAGGCACCTTTGATCAAATTCAATACCACTTTAATAATGTTTACCCATCCTGGTGTATTGTGTAACTTTTGCTGGTATCTCAGCACTTATTAAACTTGGAGCTGACCCTCTGCCCATCAAAGCCAAATCAATTCCCAATCTGCATCACCTTCTTTCTTAAGATCCACTTGCTCTGAAAACCCCTCGCTCTATCTCCCTCACACAATCCCCCTAAACCCCTTAAACCCCTTTACTCCCCCTCCTCCCTGGCCCATCTCTCTCTATCTCTGTGCGTGTCTGAGCGGTAGCTCACTCCTAAAACAGGCTGCCCTGCTCTGATCCTACTAAAGTCCCCCTTTTGCTTCTCCTCTCCCAATCTGCCGTCCAGCTGTTCCACATTAGCACATCCAGGGATGCGGAGGCCAAAGGAGGCTCATGTGTGGAAATGTGAATAGGGCAGCAAAAAAGCCTTAGACCCAGGCCTCATCCTCCTCTGCTCTGGCTCTTAAACTCACCAGATGCAAGGAAAGGATGAGGATGTTTTTTGTTTTTTTTTTTCTTGGAGGATCCAAAGTTTATTTCTGGGACTTGTTTTGGTGACCAGATTTCTTTCTCAGGAATCCAGGACAGGAGTTTTGTTCCAGTAGCAGCACTCCTCAAAGGAATCTTTCCAGAAATCTGTCAATGTTTTACAATCAATGCTGACATATTCTTTATTTGTCTTTGATTTCAGGAAAGTGCTCATTTGACCGTTCTACACCGCTGGAATCCTGTTTCCTGATCGATGCTGCTATTGCTGAAATTATTTTTGGACTCCTGTTTGACCGGTGTGCTGCTGAGAATGTAACTGGAGCTTCGCCCCTGGGGAACTGTAACGTCCAGAACTTCTAGAGCGTTTCCGACCTTCCTATCCTGCGTATCTGAGCTCTCTGTCTGCAGTTACAGCCATGCCAGCGAAAGCACCCATATACCTGAAACCTACCAATAACAAGAAAGGGAAAAAATGTCGCCTCAGAGATATGTTGTCCCCAGACATGATCAGTCCACCATTGGGGGACTTTCGCCACACAATCCACATTGGCAGGGGCGGGGAGAGAGACGCCTTTGGAGATATGTCTTTCCTCCAGGGGAAGTACGAGCTCCTACCGGGGAAGGGCGACGTCCACCCCCAGTACGGCATCCAAAGTGAGTTTCTGCGAGCCAACAGTACAGGTGATGCTTCCTTCGCCGAGACTCCCTCTCCAGTACTCAAGAATGCCATCTCCCTCCCGACTATCGGTGGCTGCCAGGCCCTCACCCTTCCCCTGATCTCCTCCACCGTGTTCTCCATGCCCCCAGAGCCGCTGGACGACATCATTGGGCCTACAGCTTCCATGAAACCTGACGGCACTGAGGAGGTAGAGATCCTGCAGATGGATGCTCTGTTGCGCTCTATGGATGTCTTCAGCAGCGAGCCCTCCTCCCCCTCCCTCCCAGATATCCAGTCCAAGCCTGATGTCCTCTTGGACCTGCTGGAAAACACAGATAAGTCCACCTCTAAGGCAATCGCCAAAGCTAACAAAATAAACAAGAGTGAAAGTAGATTTGACAAGCCGTCACCCTACTGTATCAACGGCCACAGCAACAGCATCTACAAAGCTAACGGAAGCCTGAACAGCAACGCGAGCAGCGACAGCTTTGACAGCTTTAGCGGCAAAGGGGACTTCCAGAGCAAGATCTGCAACAGTAGCGCGAATCTCAACGGCAATGGCAACTGCAATGGTTACGGACACTTTGACAATGACATTACCCTGGGCTTCAAGCAGGAGCTCTCCAAGTGCAACGGAGAGTGGGTGGACAGAGACAGTGGGGTGGAGGAGGGCCGCATCTGTGATTTTGAGTTTGAGTTTTCCAAGGAGAAGAGCACATCGCAGGATTCCCTCACCCAGATCACGGGGTCATTCCTCTCCCTCGAACTTGATCTGGGCCCATCCATCCTGGACGATGTGCTCAACATAATGGATAAACCCGCAGCGAAGAGCAGGCCTTGAGCTGCGCCGAGGCCCCAGGAGGAGAAAGGGAATTTTTCAAACTATAGCCATGAGAGAGAAAGACTCACGAAGCAATCAAAATGGTGTCTGGATATATCATTAAGATGAAAATGAGCTACGGTAGACAGAGCTGCTTATGTTTTTATTGTCAAAACATATAACTATTCTAGCTTCTATGGAGTGTCGATTCTTCTTCTTCTTTTTTTTTTTTTTGTGTTTGCCATGCCAGCCGCATGTTTAGGATGCATGTGATAGTGAGTTACAGCTAAAACACAGCCATCGTGCCTTTGATTTTAAATGATAGATTTGTGTTATGTTGACTTCCACGGTATGATAACTTTGAGGTCCTTTGCTTTTTTTTTTTTTTTTACACTCTCAGACTCTCTATGAACATATATCGTTGTGTGACTTTAAGTGTGTTTAACAAAGCACTATTTTGTTTGTCACATAATTAATTTGCCACATTGACTATTTCAACCAACAGAACACTATGCATATTTGTGTTTTAAAGATTGTAACACAAATAAATTCATTTTGTCCGATTCTGGCCGATTTCTTGCGGGGAATATTTGCACGTGCCAGAACTGAGAGATAATTTTCCCAAAAAATTATCAAACAAAATAAAGGCTGAAAATCAGAATACCGCTGGGAAAAGTTGAGGGAAGAGGGAAAAGACAAACAAGAAGGACACCAAGGAAAGAAAGAGCTACAGACTGACAGAAAGAAGGGTAGAATGGATTTATTTTCTCGCCTCTGACATTCCTCACATTCTGCTTCCCTGCCCTGCAGTGGGAGCACCGGTGGGCCTTCATCTGCCCAACCAGGCGCCTGCTCCATTTGTTTGCATGTAGATAGGACAGGCAGAGGAGGAGGGGTGGGGGGGTCTTTGAAATTCCCTGCATTCCAGCCACAGAGCACAAGTGTCCAGGACCAGACATAAATCAGCTGTTTCAAGAGAGGAAGGGAGGGCTTCGGTCTCAGAGCCACACTATCCATCAGCGGGAATGTATAGAGAGATGAGGCTATAAAACACGTGCCTACAGCCCGCAGGCAAACTTTGGTCAGTGCTGAGCGATAGATGAGTCCTCTGCTTCTGTCTGTTTACAGTACAGATATGTTGACCCAGCAGTGTTGAAGAAACAGCCTGAATGATCAGGGCAGTACACGCAGCCTCTTGAACTCAGCCACCTCTGATCCTCTGTCCCTATAGGCCCTTCAGTAGTAGATTCGTAGGGTAAGACATGACAAGATCCTACAGAGGTGTATTGCAGGCTTCCCCCAAACATCCACTTTGCCATGTTTGTGCAGAGAAAACGAGACAATCTTCACTTTCATATGCAAATAATTATCCGGGTTCGATACCACTTCTGTCGTTGAGCGGGCCCATGTGTGGCGTACCTCTCCGAATCCCTCAAAGGCCCCAGAATGTCCGTAAACAACCGCAACTGGCCCAGCCGAGGCATCTGAAGCCGCTGGAAAACCAGATGTTAAGAGAAGACATGAAAATTTCCCCCCATGCAAGAAAAAACCCATGTCATGGCAGATACCTCAGCCATTTGGAAAATCCCAGCATTAGCGCTGAAGAGTTTGCATTTGCTGAGCCGAAGCATGCAACCTCTAAGCATGAGTAATGAAAACCTTTGCTGTCAAGGTAATTACTATACTTATATGTGCAATGCTACATCTCAATGACAGCCTTCATTTTGACAGGCGTGGACCCCAAGCAAACTCCCTTTGGTTTACAAAAGAAACTTGTGACCACAGCACTTTAGTAGGGTTGTGTAACATATCAGAAGTATTTCTGTAGAGATGCCAAAGCTCTTGGACACAAAATACCAGGAAATACCAGTGTTTTATGAAATCCAAAACAAGTATTTGACATATGTTATACCCTGAGCACTGCTCTGTTCTGTTATTGAGCGCTCTACATGAAACAGAGTGAAGATTTTTGATTGTTTGATTGACCGGTCGACTTTGTGCCCTCATTTTATAGAGATTACTCTTGCGTAAGATTGATGTTTCTACTTTTTCAATGACAAACATCTGTATTTGAATTGCTCAACCTGTGTGTTGGCTACCGGCAGACGAACAGTGTCTTGTCTTGTCTCTGGCTTCAGTTTACTCCGGGAGCCTGAGGACAGAAGAGAAACTACCAGAGACAGAAGGTAGAGCTGTTTCTCATTACCACAGGGCCAAGGTGGAAGTTTTGACCTGAAGAAACCTCGACTCCAACTGCCTCCGATATTCCATGTTAACACCACAAAGATGCTGCAGCAGCAACACAATCAGATGACTCTCTGTGACGCCCACAGACTCAAGACAGAACAATATTTCATTTGTTTTGCTAGCAGGTCACAGCATAGCTTGGCTTGGCTTGGTGTTGTTTTCAGTTTGCTTGAATCCATCTTAAGAAAAATACAATGAAAAATTTCTTTTTTCAAACCTTTGTTAAAATATTTTCTATACAGCCAAACTGGTGTTACAGGAAACAGGGGAGCAACTGCCAAATTGGTGACATTAGCGGAGAGAGGGAGGTGACACGGGTGTCGCCACTACCTGCTGCCTTGTAATTTCCAAACCAGTTGCTTTATTGACAAAAATAGAAAAAAGCTAAAAAAAAATTGCTGAATTCTGTGTCTTTGACTTTATATAGTGGGTGGTGAAAAACATGAGAAAAAATTGAATAAAAACAACTTTTCAATCATGTTGGCACGTTCTGTTTTATGCTAACCAGAAAATATAGCTACACATCTTGTGAGGCAAATTCTATCAGATAAAATATAAATTAGACAAAAGACAAAAATGATGTTTCCTCAAAACATTGTCCCTATGTTACTAGGTAAATCATTCAAGAACATTTCATGAACGTTCCTCCAGCCCATCGGTGATCCAGGGGATCCAGCTACTCTGTTTCCTGGGCTAAGGTGAAGCTGTCAGTTCACAGATGAATAAGCTTTGGCCCAGAGGCCACCAGTGCCAAAGAAAGCACAGCTCAGACCCAGCAAAATTTTCCACCCAACCTCCACAACACAGCTACATAATGTGCACACTGTCTCTCACAGAGACATGTTGGTGAAGGAGCTCCTCACAGCCGGTCTTGAGCCGTGTCAGGCGGATGAGAGGGGAAACTTTAATAAGATGTTTCCCCCCCGCTCACCGGCCCTAGATGGAGACAGCAGAAGACGTGAGCGGCGGGATAAAGCTCCTCTTGTCTTCACCTGCTGTAAATGTTCTGCTGCACGAAATGAACCCAAACTCAGATACAGTACTTTCCATCCAGCCAACAGACCGGGCAGGAGGAAATATCTGAGGTATGAGCGCAGCGTTTCTCAGAAATGTTTTTGTTAAATATTTCTCTTGCTTGCTGGAGAGATATCATTCATTGTTGATACATACTGTACTTGCTCCAAAACTGAATGCCACGACTATGATAGTCGAGGCCTCGGTAGTAGAAGTTTCTTAAGAACATTTACTTTGGGATGCCGAACATGGAGCTTGGACTCAAGTGTTCTGCAGATCTGCTGATTTAGCAGCAGAGAGCTGCAGCTCCGTTTCAAAAGACAACAACAGCAGAGAGTAGAGAGAGCTTATTCTCAGGGCCGAATAAAAGGAGCCTGAGCAGGGGTTGATGCAGTGCAGATACAAGCAAGCTCACATGCAGCCCGCTCTGGCTGGCGGCGGATACCTCAGGCTCACTGCACTGTTGACTGTTGTTTGGCTGACAGTAACCATAGCGAGTTGAGTTTGTATCTTCAGCACGTGAGCTGAAAGGAGGGCACAGAGAGAGAGGATGAGAGTGAAACAGAGCAGTGTCACCTCAGAGGCACCAGAATACCTCTGTGACAGAACGCAGGCCCAGTTAATCGCGGTGCCACGCTATGTAGAGCAAAACAAGAGCTACTGTACGCTCCATCATGTCCTTCATGTATCGCTAATGTGCATCATAATTTTGGGGTTATTTGCACTGGGCAGTAATCAGCACAATGCCTGGTCTTCAGAAAGTGCTCCTATACATGTAGAGCTACATTTATAGCTATTAAGTGCAATTTGAAAAGTTAATTACAATATTAGATGCTGATTATTTTTAATGTGTATACTTTATAAATTGGTATAATTTGGCGTTAAATATCACAGAGCAGTTGGTGTTTGCGCTCAGTGTATCATTTATAGTGTTGCATGATTTCTGAGTATCAGAGTTAAAACAGTTTTAATGCAGTTAATGTGGGAGTGAACAGTGGCTTAGTGTTCCTCTAAAGTGAGGATCCTTCAGGAGCGTTGCCCAGTTAGTGAGTAAGTAAAATGAAAAACCGAATTGAAAGCATGTCTGAGTAAATTTTGAAAGAATAACATAACTGTGTTATTACAAATTAAACTCCAGTTCAAAAACATTAAGACGCACCCTTGCAAAATTCAATACACTCAGGGGTTTCGCTGCTACTGACTTATTTGGTCTGGTATGACCCGTAGCTCATGGTGACTAGTGTTAGCTAATGTGTTGACAAAGTAAAGATAGACGCTACCATGTACCTGTACCAATAAGGTGTCCCTGCCTGTGCTTCTGGAACAATATGTTTTGGCATTTAACATTATTTAGTATTGGTGCCACAGTAAAAACGTGCAGTGCACCCAAAATAGTCAAAAAAGTGTATAACGATGGACTCTACTCACCCTCAACGGTCGCCATCTCGGCAACCTAGCGGAAGGGGCGGGACCACCAGCGTATTTTCAAACTTATGAAAAGACAGAGGAGGGAGGACACTTCGTCTGCACCGATGGCGGCCTAATGTCCATGTCACATGACACAGGTGAGTAAAATGGACAATAAAATGTTCAAATTATCAAGTCAAGTGAGCAGCTGGTAGATGGGTAATAATCATGGTCACATGTTGCGATCGTCATTTCCCGTGAGTGCTCAAAGGCAGTGTTTGATTTGGAACTCTACCATGTCTGAATTCACACACTGCAGCAGTGAGCATACTGTGAACACAGTGTACTACATGTGAGTGTACTGGCTTAAGTATCCAATTAGACACAGCAGTCATCTTAAATCTAGTCTCTTATTATCTTATTAATTAGGCCAATAGTTTATGATGGAACGGAAATCTGATACCAAAACCATTGAAGCATCTTGTTAAAAAAATCAACTTGCAAGTAGATACATAAATAAGTAAACATGTAACTTTATGTCACAACTGCAATTTAAGGCCTATTTCAGTGCAGTGTATTTTGCAGATACACTCTAGATACTGTACATTACTGTGTTAGGTTCAGCCTGCACTCAATGACATTCACTGTCCTCCTGTCAGCTTTATGATAAATACTGCAAGGGTGTCCTGAGACATCGGGGTTAGCACAAAGACTTTGCTCCTCATTTAAATCGGCTTAATTTACAACAACCCCTACACCGCAAACAATCCATGAATTATTCATATTTATTCACATTTGTTCCAGCCTCAGAAGAATGGGACCGTGACTGAGCCCAGTAGGATGGGTCAGTGATGTACGCTGTGTGTGTCTCAGCTCTCCTTCTAAGGCAGCACGA